GCTGGGGGCGGGGCCAAGCCGCCGGGAGATCCACTAGGGCAGCCCCGAACCGGCCCGGGGTTTCCCGGGGGTACCGGCGTGTGCAGCGCCGAGAGCTCCCATCCGCACGTGGGGCTTTCGGCACCCGCAAGTCCCTTATCTAGATGGGACACTAAGCGGGGGTGCCTACCATCACAGCGTCCCCGCTTACAGGGACAACCGAACTGACAACGGTGCCAGAGCTGTCCCACGCGCGTCACCGCGTTATTTATATTTGTTTCTACACCTCCGTATAAACATGGGTCCAGATTTGCACCTGGCTGGGACGATTAGCTCCTGGGAGCCACACCCTCCCAAGCTCTCTAAACACTTCGCGTGCTTACAAAAGATAAAGCGTCTTAACTTCCTTTAGGGTTCTTGCCAGCGTCTATCTTCGCCAAGTTTCGACTTTGGTTAATGTAAATAACCAGCCCCAGGAGAGGCTCTGTGCAGTCAGGCCTACTGCTCAGCTTGCTTTGTGGGAGGGTTTTAGGGTATACAAAAACAAGCTACCACCAAGAGCGCACATGAAAACCACTGTCTACTGCGAGATGTAAATTGGTTTTACTTGGAAGATAGTTTCATGCAGGAATAGAAGTGAATTTTGAACAGGCAGAAATATTTCTGTTTAGTGCTGAAATAATGGTCGTAGAAGCCAATTGACCACTACAGTTACAGGTTAAAAAAAAAGAAAAAAAGGAAAGGAAAAAAGAAAAGGAGGCAAGATTTTAAAGCAGGGTAGAAAGCCACTCACTCAGTGTTTATAGCATGAACTCCCCTTGGGTTCGAATCCTGGCTCGTACTTATTACCCTTGAGATCTCCATCAACAATAGGGCTCTCACCGGGTAATTGTGAAAAGGAAATGAGGTAAAGCAAGCCAAGTGCTTGGTGCTGTGCACAGTAGGCACTAGTAAGTGTTGTCTTTGACAAATCACGCTAAACAAACTTAGCTAGTGATCCGTATACATCTGTGTCTGTGTCTCCTGTGGCCACCTTTTCCTCTCATCAACACGTAGGACCTGAGGGCAGGCCTTGGAGTGCAGCAGTAAGCTGTGCGCATAGGGAACGGCTGGCTGGTGGCTTGCAAAACGCACCGGGCATGCATGTGTAATGCCCAGTATCCCAATATGATGGAGAAATGAGGAAAAAGGATTGCGTGTGATCAGGCCCTATTGGGAGGTTCTCTTTCTCTCCGCAATGCACTTGTACCCTCTGGCAATAAAAAAGAAAACTTTAAAAAAGAATGTGAACTCACTTCAGACCAGGAGATTAAAAGGCAAATGCTGTTGCCACCCAGGTTCTTTCCTACAATCATGCCCTTACTTATGCCATTTATTCAAGTAAGCAATTCTGATGGCAGAAGCCTCCAATTTCAATTCTTGCCGAACGATAAACACCACACAACAACTGCCCTCACCACCCTGAGAACTCCACAATAGAAAGATTAGCCAAAAATATCCCCCAAACTTTTGTCACTCTGTGACAGTGACACATTGCAGCATTGTTTCCTTCGTTAGCTTCCTAAGAACTTGTTAAGTGTTGCTTTTGCTGTGATGTAACTCGGAGCAGGTGAATGTGAGTCACAGTAGTTGTCCAGTCTACCTGGGTGACCAGCTGCCTGACCCTAGGCATGCCACTTCTTATAAAGCTCAAATATGTAACTCGCAAAGCCACAAGGAAGCAAATTTTGTCAAAGCAGGTGAGTCAAGTTTCAGCCACGTTCTGAGGTGAGAACCCTGAGATGGAAGAGGTGAGGTAACAAGCTGAGATGAGAAATGATCCTGGGAACACAATCTCCTGTTACTTCAACATGAAATAATTTGCTATCTGAAAACTCTTAGGTGAATTCCCTGACGTGCTGTTCTCAGTCTTGCTTGTATACAAAAGCGCTTGGAAAAAATACAGTGCTGAAAATAAAACAATGCCAGTAATTTTGCCCCTATTCTCTACAGAGAGTTGTGAAGCTTTTCTTTCTGTGTTGATGTGAGTTTCTAAGCTTCTCTTATCTAGGACTGGCTTCAGGAGCAGGCCACCTGCGTAGTTGCACAAGGACCCACTCTTAGAAGAGATCCGTGCTTGCTCTAATGCTCTACTGCCACCATCTTGAAATTCATAATATTTTTTGTTTGTTTGCTTTTAATTGCAAGAGACACTCACCAGAGAGAGACAGAAAGGCAGAGAGAAATAGAGAGAGAGGGAGAACACCCCCCTCCCCATGGACCATGGTCATGCTGTAATCCTTTCTCCTCCCTTTCTCTATCCTGTCAAGATTTAGGGGCACATACACATGTGCTTGTGTTTTGTTTTGTTTTGTTTTGGAGAGGTTTTTGCTATAGGGCGCATGCGCTCGCCAGACAGACAGAGACAGAGAGACAGAAAGCAAGATATCACCCCTGGGGGGATGGCCACGCCACAATCCCTTCTCCTCCAGGGATCTTGGACATGCATACACACACGCCCAGCGTGAGTTTTAAGCCACTGGGTCTGGGACGCGAACCGCGGTCGACTACATGGGAGTCCAGTGACATAGCCATTACGCTAACTGCTGGTCCCTGCTTGTGTATTTTTCAAGCCACTGGGCCCAGAATTCAAACTGTAGATGGCCATGTGGGATCCGACACCTTTAACGACTAGATTATAAGACTGAGTGATTGAAATTCTTAATACTTTTTGAATAAGAAGTCTCATTGGGGGGGGGGCTGGCAGGTAGTATAGCAGTTAAGGATGCTGAACTCCCACATGACCGACTATGGTTCGAATCCTGGACCTAGCGGCTTGCTTTCTCACTTTCCCGTCTCTCTCTCTCTCTCATTCTGTCCCTCTCTGGTCAAATTTAAATAAATAAATAAATAAGTACATACATACAAAAATAGATAAATAAAGTTAAATTAAAAATAGTTCTTAAAACAAAAAGAAGCCTATTGGTTTCAGTTTTCACTAGACTCACAAATTATATAATGTCCCAATCTCACCACACAGAATATGAGCCTAGCATGTATTTTCCCTTAACCTAACAATCAGTTGAAGAAATATTTATCCGTTTCAATATTACAGGGAAAAACACCTAAACCAAAAAACAATCAAGAAAACAAGCAAACAGCTGGGTGTATCTCAAGTCTTATGGCCCATTTAAGAAATTTTCAAGATCAGTTTTGATTGCACACGATTTTGACTGTAGTTGATTTTGACTTTATGTTCTCTTTGAAGCCTAACCCCTCACACAAGATGTGACTCCTTTGTAAAGCAAAAACAAACAGAAAGGCTTTTTCTCTCATCCATGTATTTTTTTTAATTTGCTATAGGGTGTGTGGGCTCACCAGAGAGAGACAGAGAGAAAGAGAGAGACAGAGAGAAAGAGAGAGACAGGGAAAGTGAAGATGAGCCTCCCAGGGGCATGGCCATGCCACAATTCCTTCTCTTCCATTCTTTTCTTGGTAATTTGGGCATGCATGCTTGCATGCCTGGCATGTTTTGCAGGCCTGGTGGGGTCCAGGATTCGAGCCTCTAAGATTGGCCATGTGGGATCCAGCTACCTTAACCACCATGCCACTGGCTGGCCCTTTCCTGTATGTCCTAAGGTACTAAAGAAAGGACTAAAAGTCAATAAGGAGATTTTCGAATGTAATGGAAAGCAGAAGGAAGAAAAATAATTCAGCTAATCTGCCACTGAATCTTCAAAAATTAAACATTTTTTTGTTTGTTTTTGTTTTTACTGTGAACCTAAAACTGCTCTAAAAAATAGACTTTTACAAAAACTAACCACTTATTTTGCTGTTCTTTTTCTTTTGGCCTTAACAATAAAGTAATTTGTTGACTTGTTTTGAGTTTTAATTAATGCTTACTCGATTTTCCAAAGCACCAAAAACAGTTTTCCTTTAACTCCACTGAACTGAACTCATGTAAAATTGGAGGTTATTTCTCATTTCAGTTTCCTGTACACTCCTACTTAGACACTGCTCAGACCTGGACCCAGCCACTTGCTGACACAACAAACATTCCCTGTGCCTCCCTCCATGCCTTTGCACTTACCTGGACTCTGCTGCTATCGCCTGAAAAACAAAAAGGAGAGTGAGAACCACAATGAGCAGCACCCTGGGCAGAAAGTGGGCGGGGCTGAGGAGGGCAGACACTCAAAGAAACACCTATGGGAAGCCAAGGAGGTGATGGCTCAGTCCCCTGCCCAAGACAGTCACTCTCCTTAACCAGCTAGGGTCCATTTTCTTACATTTAGGTCCTCCCTTTAAAAATCAAGTGGAAAACACAATGGAGGTGGGGAAGAGTTTCTAATATATGATATAAAACCCAGAAGACAAAAAGAAAATATTAAGAAATGAGACTCTTTAGCTACAATGTTCAACATAAAAAATCTGCATTATAGAACAATGCTAAAAGGATGGTATTATTTATGCTTGAGATAACTTGTACTAGAGAAAGGATATATGTATTTTATACATAGGAAATGCATGGCAATGGACTACATAAAGACCCTCCAAACTGTCTAGGAAGCAAGTCGGAGATGTTTCTGATTTATTCTGTGTACATAGAATACATGTACTTACTGAGTTGGCAAGTCAAGAATAGAAACCAGACTCATTTCATGGCTTCTGTCCATGAATACACACATACATGTGCACACACACACATAGTCTCACATGCAAA